AAACTAATTTTTATTTAAAATTTATGCAGTATAAATATTTGCAAGAAAAAACTTATTTTGCAAATTAAAAATAAAATTTGATATCTACTGATGTTAATGGGTTCATAGGAGTAAACCAAAATGTTTAAGATATTTATAGAATTTTTTATAGCATTAGCTCTTCTGAGCTATAAATAGAGAATAATCCTATTATTGATGTGGTTTAAAATCAAAACCTAGGTATTATTCTTGTAATTAAAAATTTAAATATTTTAGTTTTCGATATTAACACTAATTAGCTAATTGATAACCTTTAGTTTGGAGACCCTAAATCTTCTATAATATAATATTTATTTGATATAAGAGCATAATATTCTATGATAGCATGTAAAGCAAATACTTTATTTATAAAATCACTAGATTCATAATAATCGTACTCGTTTCATAGTGAGCAATTAAATGGATTTTTAGTGTGGTAATAAGATAATTAAGATTTTATAATTTCATATGGCTAAAGTATTACAATACATTCATTTAAACTTGATATAATATAAATTATTTCAGGTCTCTAAGCAAATCAAATTATTTAAAGTTGTAAATCATCAAAAAATTAGCTTTTCTGTTCTTTATTTGGTAATTAAATGCTGATTCTTATAATAGATTTGATGGAATACAAAATTTCTCAATTTGTTAAAACTTAAATTATAGTAAATAAGAATTTCAAATTAGATTATCTATATTCTAACCTGTTTGTCTATGGGTAATTTATTGAATAATACTAATTTGATGGTTCTTTCATAACTAGTATTTAAAATATGTATTAACCTGTTACAGATTTCCTGTTTTACCAGCAGTACATAATAGCACTATAATCTTCCTTATAATCATGTAAGCTATTTTTAGATTACCCTATTTTCTCATTTTTTTAACTTCTACCTTTTAACTTGATTAAAAAAATTTTCACAAAAATTTTTTCAAAACCTTCAAAATCTCTGAAGTGGCATAATTAATCCCTCCATCATATTTGAGCTATTTATAAAATTTTTTATTAAAATTAATTAATAAAAAAAAACATAAAATGTAACTGAAACATGCTTATTCTTAACTCAAACATCTTTAAAATTTTTAAAATAATTTATTTTGAATAAACTAACTAATCATTTAATTTTGTAAAAATTAATTTGAAACAGCATATTTTAAAAGAGAATTTAATTAAAGTATTTAATAAATAAAGATTTTAAAAATTAATTGAATTTTTAATTAAAATAGATATATCAATATATGACAGACAAAGTTTAAATTTTTTGAAGGGTTTTGCATTCTAAAAATAAGGAAATATTTTAAGTTATTTAGTTGTTAAGTAATTTAATCATATATTAGTACATATATCAAGTACTTAAATATATGTATACGATATTGTAGAATAGACTCAAATAACAATAATTTAAAGTCAATCTAATTTTAGCCAAGGTAACTTATTTGTTGGTATGATATATGATAACGAATTCTACCAACTCACTACAATAACTTAATCAGGTATTTTCTACTCAATATCTTATTAAAACTTTTAATCCCCTTAATAGCTTACTGAATTTACTGAATTTTCTCCTCCTTCACCTTATGCAAAAGGATTAAATCTTGATATGACTACAAACAACTGCCTGATATTTAGCGACTAATACATTGTTTAAGTTGATTATTCTAGACTTACTAATTTCTTTAAGTAGCTATAATTAAATAAAAATACCTTCTATTCTAAAATAATTCCTAAAAAGCAAAATAGCTTGTCATATTATATTTTGGCTGGATAAAATAATATCTTATACTCCTATAACAATTTCACTGTTTAATATTTTGGGTTCCTACAAAATTAAAATCAGATAATTGATATAAAATTCTTAGATCAAGACTCTTTATTAATAATTGTTTTTAAGTAAGAATTGAGAGTTTACAATTTTACAGAAATTAAAGCTGAAATGAATACTCAAATCGATGATTTACCATATTTATAAGAACTAAATTATTAAATCAATAAGTTTTTAGCTCCTTGTATTTTCCTGACTGTTGACAATCAAATTGTTCACTATAACTTTACAGCAATGAATTTTATTTAAATAATACATTTATAATCAATATTGTCATAATTTTATATAAACAACTCTCAAACTCTACTAATTTTAGGTCTATCTAATGGAGATATTATTTTCTACTTCTTGTTGACTACAAAGTAACTAAGATACACATTAAATCTTACATAAAATAAAAATAACATAAAATTTATCTAAGAAACAAACACTTTTATTTGGATAGGATCATTAAATAGTTATGTTATTGGTTTTAATAAAACAAACAATATTTAATAATTATAAATTTATCTCAATGATTATTCTAAAAATAACTCTGAAGATCTAACTGTCCTTGCTATAGATGAAGATAACAATAGGTTATTTTTTAATTATTTACATCAAAAAGTAGTTTATATCTTAGACTACTCATCAACTAACTCAAAAAATATAAAATATATTTAATTTCCAGGATCTCAGTTTAACAGGATACAAATAACTGAAAATAAAATTATCCTTTATTCGACATTTCAGTTTAACTTTCATGATAGAAAAAGTCTTTAGTTTCTTTTATCTATCAGAAGATAAAACTTGGTTGATGCAGTCAATCAAATTTATATAGCATAAGAATAATTTTACTTATTTTTCTCAGCTTATAAATATGAGTTATTCTATGTCGATTTTAAACAATAAAAATATTATTTATTAGACCAAGTTTAAATTTAAAATTATTAAATAGTTGATATAATTTATGATGAAAGCGAAAATTAGCTTAATTTAATCACGACAATAAAAGACTAAATATTTGAAAAAAAATATCAATTTTCATACTTGTTATAATAGATATTCTCTTAATAATATGATTGTACATTGATTTTTTAAGGAGCACCTCATTTTTAAATGAAGAAGTCAATAAATAGCATTTCTCCTATTGTTTAATAACAACCTAATATGTTAGGAGTTAATAATTTACAAAACATTAATCAGACAAGCTTAATTTATGCTTAAATTACTAAATAAGACTTTTCTGAAATTAGTTTTGAAGTAATGTAAAATTCATAGTTAGTAATTTCTCCTAATGATAATAATAATAATCAATTGCTAATAACAAAGAATTTGTTTTAAAATTATTTGCTAAATAAAATTTAACTAACTAATTTTAGTTTTGTAATTTAGGATGATATTATTGAATTTAATTAAAAAATAAATGAAATTTATTTACAAAATATTGAAATCTCTAATTAAAGTATGAACGATACGCAAATCATCTTTTAAAATTCTGATAGAGTTGTAATTTAGAATATGATAATAAAAAACTTGACCCTATATTAAAACTAGTTAGGAATATCCTTTTTACATTTTAAAAACTGCAAAATAGTAACAATCTAAAATATGACAATATTGGATACTACTTTTTATAGTTAAAAATATTCATATTTTCTATCTATGACCAACATTAGTGTTGTGAATATTTAAAGCTCAAATGTTACTGATAGTCAATTTAACAATTTAATATTCTTTCAATAATTACAATAAGCAAATTTAGATTAAATTACTGTTAAAAATTGTAAGAGTGATTCAAATTTATAAACAGATGAAGTTAATTATTTCATAGATTCCAAAGCAATTTAGAATTTTTTAATAAATCAGTCATAATTTATTGGAAATAGAAACATTTTATTCCTTAAATACTCAAATCTATTTTATTAAATTGATCAAAATTCTTAAATATAAGATGATTAAATAACAATGCTGGATTCAATTATCTAAGAAAACTCTTTTACTGATAATAAATAATATCTGATATATTTACAAACTACTAAGGTAATAATAAACTCTTTGCAATATGTTAAGAATATTAATAATATTGGTTGTTATAATACTTAAAATATACAAATTACAAACAGCTACTTTTTGCTCAATTAGGGAATCAATGGAGGAGCAATCTATTTATCGAATAATATGAACTATTTCAAATTATAAAACTCAACTTTTAAATAAAATGTTGCCTTAGCTAGCGGCGGAGCTTTATTCTTTACAGAATAGCATGGTTAAATATATATTGATAATTCTACAATTTTTGAAAAAAACTCAGCTGAAATCGGAGGGGGATTAAGACTACTAAATTCTTTTGTGAACTTGAACCCAAAGGAACTCATATAATTAATGAAAAAAATTAACTTTTTAAATAATTTTGCTTTTTTATTTGGATAAAACTTTTAGCTAGGATTCCAAACACTCTAAGTAGAGGAAATTTATATGTAAAAATAAGGAAATCAAGAGAAAATTGAATTTGTATATAACGATTTCAGATAAGCTTAGTCATCTGAATATTTAGGAAAACTTTACATCAAAAACTTTAAAAGCGGAGATATTATCAACATGGAAGTCTCGATAATAGATGAGGAGGGAAATAAATTTAAAATAGATCAGTAGTAATTTTAAAATAAAATAATACATCCAAGTATACTAAATGAACTAAATTTGTACACATTTTAGCTTGAAAGTATGAATTAGGAGAGTTTGTAATTGAATGGCTAAATAGTTATTAAACTTGATTCTTTCGATTTTAACACTAATTCTTTTGTATTTAATAAAGTTTCAATATTAAGTCAGCCCTACTCATCAAATTAATTAAAAATAACATACAAAATTAACTCTTTTTTATAGCTGCCTATACTAATTGAGATTGAATTTAGAAATTGCTTGTAAGGAGAAGTATTAAAACACTATATTTAATAAATTTATAGCTGTGAAACATGTTAATATGGGACATATTTTCTTTAAAAGTATGACAATTTTAACTATACTACTTATATGAATGAAAATTAATTGCCGTAATTATGCAAAAAATGTCCAAAATAAGCTAATTTTTGTTAAGGAAATATGATTTAACTTGAAGAAGGTTATTGGAGAGAAAGTATTTAAGAAGATAATCCTGATTTAATTTAATACTGTAAAAACAGCCCATAAAACTGTAGAGAGTAATATCCAAACTAAATCAAAGGATGTGTAGATGGTTATATAGGACCACTTTGCGAAACTTGCGATTCTCTAGGGGAAGTTTGGTAATAAAAATACACAAAATAATTAACATCGAGATTCTAATGCCAATTGTGTAATAAGCTGGTCTTCTAGATTTTAATTACTATTTTAATATCATTTTTAATTATAATTTATGGTTTGAGTAGCACATTCATGTTTATGAATAACTTTTTATTCATTTAGAAATGCTTTTACTTGAGAAAAATGTCAATTTTACCTATCTATAAGAGCTGCTAGAGGGATTATTCTAGCTTTTATTTGAAAGTCTTAATAAACTACATTTAAATCATTCAATATATACTAAAACTGGAACTCAGTAGCTTTTAAGTAAAAGTTTCAAATAGCATAGATATTTTTTAGAGCCCATAACACTAGCTCCTAAGCTCACTAGATTGTCTAATAAACTCTTTTGTTGACAATAGAATAAAAAGAATAATGCTAAATCTTATATTAGAAGTATTAAATCCTATATTACTGCTGCTATTAGCATGTCTTATATTTTTAATTTTAATGAGATTAAATCTTTTCTAAATTAGCAAATATCATTTTTATACATTGACGAATGTCATGTTTATATTTTTTCAACCAGCATCTCTCGTTTATTTTATTAAATCACTGAGTTGTAGATAAATAGCAAACAAAAAATATACTGAAATAGACCTTACAATAGATTGCTATGATGACCAATATAAAAGATTTGTGTATCCGTTTTCTTCTTGCATATTTTTTGTCTACGTCCTGATACCGTTTTACATATTTTATTAAATTAGATAATCTAAGTAAAAATTAAATGACTGCTAAGTGAGATTTAAGTATGGGTATTATTACACTGAATACAAGCCTGAATATTATTATTGGGATTTAGTAAGAATCAATGTTAGACTTCTAATATTCATAATTTATACAGTATTTGAATAAAATAGTTATTTCTCATTTCTAATAATAGTATTTTTAATAAGCATCTATATAAAATTGATAATCATTCTTAGACCTATTCAGAATTTAGACATGCTATGGAATGAAATATATACAAATATTATTATCATGGTTTTAATAATACTTTACAATGTTAGCTTATAGTTTTAGTTTTTAGTTCTTTAAATTGTTGTTTTTATTTTACACTTGATATATTTATTCTATTTGATTTTGTCCATTTTCAACTAGAAAATAAAATCAAGTGTCACCATTTTTGGTAAAATATTTAGATTCTTTTATAAGCTCATCCAATCTAAAGAACGTTTTGATAATTTTATCAAAAAAAATCAAACTAGTTTTGAAGTTTATAAGAGATGGCGATTTTTAAGAAATAATAGAAAATCTGCATTATTTCAAAAAAATGTCACCACTATACTTTCAGTTTAGAATTCAAAAGTTAGCCAACAAAGTAAATTTTTTAATAATTTTTAAGCTACAATTTAAATTTTATAAATAGATTTAAAAAGGAGAATTTCTTAGTTTATAAGTTAAAATTAAGTTTTAATTTAATCTTCTTTTTCTAACTCTTTAAATAAAATGAATTCTTCTTTTCTTGAAACAAATTCTATCTAGACTCCAAATAAAAGGCTGGTAACAAAATCTAATTTTGGAGGTGAAAAAAAGTAGTTATCATTTCAAACAGATGTTAATGAAAAATCTAACTTTAGAGGATAAAATACAATTTTATCCTAATTGAATTAATTAGATATAAAAAAAAATAAAAGCATTATTACTATACCAAATGATACTAGTCCTATGTAAAATAAGAAAATTGAATAAAATGATTAATATGAGCTTTCTTTTTGTGGCTAAGTTAAATTTGTTTAAATTAAGACTTTATATTGACCAGTTTCAAATACTTTTATTTATGTTTTTATGTTTTTTTCAGCTAAATGAGTAAATTTTTATTTTTTTCATAATTAATCAAACCATCTTTAAAACTAAATAAACTTGAATAAATTTTTAAATTTAACAAAGTATGAAATACTTACTCTCTCTAATTTCTCATTAATTAAAATACCTTTTAAAAATTAAATATAATTTTGGCATTTAATCAAAAAAGTTTTTTAAATATGTTTTCATAAAATAGATAGATATATATATAGATATACATATAAATTTTTTTATGAACAAAGAAAATAAAAAAGATAATTTGCAAAATATTTTAGAATCTATTGCATGCTCTAAATTTAACTAAATCATCAAGTCTTAATATTCTAAATAACTAATCTTTTCATTTTCATAATATGCTCTGATATGGTTTTTTTTTCAAATATTTCATAATATTGAATCGTACTTTGACTACTGTATTTATTTGTGTAAAATAAATTTAATAATAAAAATGTTTTAAAATTTGCAATTTTACTATAGAATCAATGATAAAACATTTATGTTTTTACAATTTATCAATTCCAATCCTAAGTAATGAATAGCTGTCACATCTATTTGATTATGTCTAGTTTAGAAAATTATATTTTAAAAAACATGTATTTTAAAATCTATAAAACTAATTTGAGTGTTAATATTTTTCATTAAGTAAATTAAGAATCACCAAATATACTTCAGAAAAAACTATTAAAATAACTCTAATATAAATCAAATTAACTATAAAGGAATAAAATTATTAATTAATTTATTATTTTTACTGTAATTCTAACATCAAATGACTTAATTTTGAACACTTTGCTAACCCTTTAGATAATTTTATAATCGCTTCTTTTCTGATACAATTATTCCTATTCAAATCATATTTATTGGAATTTTTTAAAATTATTTTATAATTTCAAATATAAAAAGTAAATAAATAAAATAAGCAAAGTATTTCGATTTATAATTTAAAACCATTTTTAAATAAATATTTTACTATAAGCCTAGGTAAAGATAGACTATATTTTAACATTTTTCTAATCCTTCACCTAAGAAAGATGCAGCTTCACTACTAATCTTACATCCACTAAAAACATTTATTTTATATGAATTTAAAAATTTTAATATTTTACCCTAAGTCCATTGTAACTTTTTTCAGTTAATTAGAGTTTTTTAGTATATAACCCAAATTTTAAACTATTTAGTGAGAAATTTAGCATAAGCTTTATTTTTTAAATAAATTAATTAATTTATTTTTGGAAATCATCATAATTTATTAAAGTATTTTTTGATAGAAGTAAACAAATTCTTGTTAAGTTATTTTGACTATTTATATATACCACGCTCTCATAGAATTCATTTAAAACATTTTATAATTCATTTACTAAAATTTATTTTAATATATATCTATCAGTAAATTTATTTTTAATAAGTGTTAATCTTCATCAAAAATAAAAAATATATTAAATATTAATACTTTAAATCTATATCAAATTCTTTTAGATTTCTAAATTCTGTAAGGCTTAAGCCAAATCCTTCTATTTATTCATTCACATCACCAAATTTATTTTCTCTATTTTTAAAATAAAAAGAAACATCTAATTAGAAAAAATATTTTATTTAATAATATTCTCTTTAAATATCAATAACAATGAAATATTTAAGTAGATAAAGTTTATTTCCATAAATTATATTTTAATATTGTTTCAAAATACTATTTTTATTTATTTATTTACCTTAAATTGAGCTTCAATATTTCAAGACTCAAGGAACTTCCTAGCCCTGCTAATAATTAAATGAACATTTTACTTTCTATATTATTTTTTCTTTAAATAGAAATTAATATTTTGATAATGATAGATAAATTATTAAAGATACCTTAAATCAAAATCAACTATTTTTAGATTTTAACAATTCTTTAAACCGCCACAAAAGTCATTTATCTCTTCATAAAATTTAAAAGCGTTATTTCTAAAATTTTTAAATTAAAATTTTACTATTAACTCGATAATATGAATTTTTTTTACCTTAAATCTAATTTTAGAGTTGAAATAGTTTAACTTTTGCCTAGTCCATTGCAGAAACCAGAAATCCATTACTGATTAACTTTATTATTTCTAATAGAAAAATTTCAATTAATAAAAAAGCTATTATTAGTAAATGAAACTATTATTACTGTAAAGAAACCTGCAAAGTATTGAGATTAGAGCTCATTCCTAATCCTGTTCCTAAGCTTTTGGCTCCATTATCACCGATATAGTTACAACTTTAGATATTTTTAATACTTAATCATAGTTATATTAATTATCTTCTTACATCAAATCTAGATTTAAATTTTTGAGATTTGGGCATTTTGATAATCCAGATCCTAATCCAAATAATCCAATATCGCTAATACTGTTTCCACTTTTAATTAAAAATATATAGGTAATAAAATAATAATTAATTTACAGCCTTAAAAAAATTATTAACTAAACTCTAAAATTAATTTTAAAATGAATACTGACTGTAATTCATTCTACTTAAATTAGAATTATTTATTATCAACCAAAACCACTCAAAAATAAAAAAGGAATTTAAATAACAATAAAATTGAATTTATTTTTAAAAATCTATTTATGAAGCTCAAAGGTATGTTTGTTATAGTGGATGAATTTTATTTAGTTAATACTTATAGTAAATTTGTATTATTAAATATTTATGCATCAGAAAATTTTGATAAAGTAGAATTTTTGTTAACTCCTATAGTTATTTTATGAGTCTTGAGTATCAGCTTTTACTGCTAATAGTTTCAGCTTCCGAAAATATATTTATCATAAATTTTTAATATCTGAACTCTGTATATGTTTTTTGTTTTAATTTGATATATTTTATCTTTACATAAGTATTTATTTAGTTTTAAAATTTTTGGCTTGCTTGTAAATTAAAATAAAAACCTTAAGTTGATATTTATGTATTATAGACATCTATTATTTCCTAGCTTGTTTCCTATTTCACTCGCACCTTTAATGCTAATGTGATTTAAACTTTTAATTCAATAAAAAGAACTGTTGAGAATCATATTAAAATGAGCATTTGTTACAATAGATTAAGGTATAGATTTTCTAAATTTTAGAAATTGCCAATTGCTTAACTCAAAGTAGATATTCCTTAATCACAAATATTGTTTTAACTATTTATAAAATACAATTTATTTATTTTTTTAAGAAAGGCAAAAAATATATTTTCTATCCAAATTTACTAATAAATAAATTAGTAAATCTGACCATTTTTTATTGATTTCTATCAAAAATGTATTAATTTAATGAAAAAATGATTCAACCTGAAATCAAGGGTAAGATTTTATATATTGCTCAGATTTTTTATCCCTGAGCTGAAATTTGCCAATCCTAGATCCTAAATATTATTCTAACTTTTATTAATAATTAAAAAATAAGTTTACTGTTCAATAATTCAATTTTATATAAATTTTAAGCAAATTTAAGAATGCTAAAAGATTTTTGCAAAAAATGAAAATTTGATTTTTCAAGATGAAATGATTTTGATTTCTAAAACAAGCAAAAAAGTTTTTAAAACAGCTAGCTATCTTACCTTAAAGATATCATTAAATTTTTTAAATTTTAACAATTTCCTAAAGATTTGCCTAAATAAGAAGCTCCATTATCACAAATTTAGTTTTACCTTTTATTTATTTTGAAAAAGATGTTTGTTTAAAAATATTGATAACAATTATTTTGTTTTTTTCAAGTTGTAAATTAAGAAATGTTTATTTGCAGATAACTTAAAAAAGTTAAACTTGTGATTAATTTAAAAAGAGAGTAGAATTTGCAAGATTTAAACAGTCTTCTAACCATAATAAAATCCAAAAACTCCTTTATCACTCAGTAAATTTTAACTTTAAAATAAGGAATTTAAATTTTGATTGGTAAAGATTTATCTAATTGATTATAATTTAAGCAGTTCTCAATTAAAGCAGCTAATAAAATTTGAATAAAGATATAAATAAAACTCTATAAGATTGAAGCATATTTCAGGTTTATTTTAATTAAATAACTTTTAAAGTAAATAAATACTCTAAGTTAAGTGTCAAATTTTTTAAATTAGAACAGTTTGTTAAGCCTTTTCCTAAATCCTCTGTTTGTTTGGTCCCAAATAGATTAGATCTTTTTTTTAAATAATTATTTTAATAATCTTAATATTAATTGAATATTTTATTTATAAGAATAAAGAAAAATAAATTATTCCATCTGCATGTTAATTTTAATACTTCTTTAATTCAGAAATTATTTTATGCTTTATTATCAAATTTTTTCAACAATAACACCTAAGTTAGTTTTCTTTAAAAAAATTTACCTCAGCTGTAGCTCAAGGCTATAAATGTTGGTTTATTTTGATTATAAAAACTATTAATTAAAAATATTAATATTTCGACTGCTAAAATCTTTATTGATTACATTTTTTAAAATAAAGTATTATTAATTATGTTCTTCTAGCATTTTCTTTTTCTCAACCTTTTTTTTTTAATTTATTATTATTATTAATTATTATTTGATTTTTTCCTTATTCAATATAAATTACAATCAAAAACAATAAAAAATTAATTTCTTATGAATACTGTAAAACTAATTTTCTGACGCCAAATTAAAAAAATTAAATTTTGGCATTCTTTTGATTAACCAAAATTTTGATTAATTTAAATCAAAAAATAGAAAAAAATTCAAAGTAAGAAATTGTGTTATTTGAAAAATTATATTGTTTTTTCAATTTATGTATCTTTATGATGCAATTAAAAACAAAATAACAAATATGTCAAAGATCAAACAAATATAACATTCATTCGCTTTTTTATCAAAAATAAATATAAATTGAATTATATATTTACATGAATGCTTTTATTATATTTTCAAAAAGTATCATTTAAAAAATATAAAGTGTTTTTTTAATTAAAAAAATAATATAAGTATTTTATCAACAAAAAATTTATATAAAATATATCAATCAATCAATCAATACTATACTTTAATTAATTATTTTATTGATGAATAAAATGCGAAATATAATTTGGAAAATATTATCAAATCTTTTCGATTAAATTTCACTAAAAGCATCAAATATGAATATCCTTAATAACTAATTTTCTCATTTTATGTATGTGCTCAAACATTATGAATTTTTCAACTCTCTTTGGCCATACACTTTGATAACTATAATTATTTATATAATATAATTTTAATAATAAATAAAAACACTTTTTAATTTGATATTTTACTTTAAATCCAACTATAAAATAGTTAAGTTTTTGCAATTTATTAATTCTGATCCTAAGAAATTAAACACTGCCATGTCAATCTGATTTTAGCTTTTTTAGAAAATTTTACTATTAAAAACTATGAATTACTTAGCTAAGCTTTATAATATATAAAACTAATTTTAATGTTATTATTTTTTGCATTAAGCAAATCATCAACAAATACTCCATCTGAAAAATTTTTTTTAAATTAAAGCTAACTCTAAAATTAATCAAACTAAATTTTTCTTAAAATAATAAAATTATAAATGTTCTAATTTTACAAAAAGCTTATAATCAGATGATTTAATTTTGCACACTTAGCTAATCCTTCTGATAGTGTAAAAATTCCTTCTTCTCTGATAAAATTTTTCCTATTAAAATCATATTTACTTATTTGTTCGTATTCGTTTGTTTATTTTAATAAAATTTTTTATTTCTAAAATAAAAAATAAATAAAATAATGAAAGTATTTTAATTTATAATTTGAAACAATTATTAAATGTTCTACTATAAATTGAGGTTTAAATAGACTAAATTTTAAGATTTTTTTAATCCTTCACCTAAGGCAGATACCGCTGTACTATCAATCTTGCATTCACTAAAAACATTTATTTTAGATGAGTTTTAGAAATGTTAGTATTTTACCTTAAATCTATTGATACTTTTTCAAGTTAATTAGAGTTTTATAGTATGTAACCCAAACTTTAAACTGTATCGAGTGAAAATTAGCATTAACTTTATTTTTTAAATAAATAAATTAATTTTAAAAAATCATCTTAATTTAAAGTATTTTTTTATATTAAATAAACTTGTATTAACCAAGTTTGATTATTAATAGATACCATATTCTTATAGAATCCATTTACAAAATTTTGTAATTTATTTACTCAAATTAATTTTAGTGTATCTATCAATAAATTTATTTTTAATAAGTGTTAATCTTCCTCAAAAATAAAAAATATATTAAATATTAATACTTTAAATCTATATCAAATTCTTTTAGATTTCTAAATTCTGTAAGGTTTAAGCCAAATCCTTCTGTTTATTCATTCACATCACCAAACTTATTTTCTCTATTTATAAAATAAAAAGAAATATCTAATAAGAAAATAAACATTTTTTTAATGAATAATGTTCTCTTTAAGTATTTATTTATTTAAATTAAAATTTTAAGTAGATTTAGTTTATTTCCATAAATCATATTTGAATATTGCTTCAAAATGTTATTTAATTTATTAAAGAAAATAATTTATTTGTTTACCTAAAATTAAGTTTCAACTTTTCAAGACTCATTGAACTTCCTAGTCCTTTGAATAATTAATTGGCTGTTATACTATCTATATTATTTTTTCTTTTAATAGAAATTAATATTTAGATAATGATAGATAAATTATAAAAGATACCTTAAATCAAAATCAACTATTTTTAGATTTTAACTATTTTTTAAGCCACTACAAAAGTCAGATACCTCTTCTTAAAATTTAAAAGCGTTATATCTAAAATTTTTAAATTAAAATATTACTTTTAACTGTATAATATCAAATTTTTTACCTTAAATCTAATTTTAGAGTTGAAATAGTTTAACTTTTGCCTAATCCATGGCAGAAACTAGAAATCCATTACTAATTAACTTTATTATTTCTAATAGAAAAATTTTATATTAATCATTTAAATTTATTAACAAACTTCAATTAATAATGATTTGAAAATAAAACTGTTATTACTGTAAAGAAATCTGTAAAATATTGAGACTAGAGCTCATTCCTAATCCTGTGCCTAAGCTTTTGTCTCCATTACCACCGATATAGTTGCAACTTTAGATATTTTTAATACTTAATCATAGTTATATTAATTATCTTCTTACTCCAAATTTAGATTTAAATTTTTGAGATTAGGGCATTTTGCTAATCCAGATCCTAATCCAAATAATCCAATGTCGTTAATGCTGTTTCCACTTTTAATTAAAAATATTTAAGTAATAAAATTAATAATTTACAGCCTTAAAAAAATTATTAACTAAACTCTAAAATTAATATTAAAATGAATACCGTAATCCTACTTAAATTAGAATTATTTATGATCAACCAACATCACTCAAAAATAAAAAATTAAGGAATTTAAATAGCAAAAAAGCCGAATTCATTATTAAAAATCTATTATTAAAGTTTAAGGTATGCTGGATGATGGATTTTATTTAGCTAAAAATTTAAATAAATTTGTATTATTAAATATTTATGCATCAGAAAAATAATGATAAAGTAGAACTTTTGTTAATTCCAGTAAATAATATAGTGAAACTTGAGTAACAACTTTTACTTGCAAATAATCTTCGCTTCCGAAAATAAATTTATCATAAATTATTAATCTCTGAACTCTGCTTATATTTTTCAGTTTTAATTTGATGTTTTTTATATTTGCATATTTAGTTTTATAAATTTTTTGGCCTGATTGAAAATTAAAATAAAATAAAAAACCTTAAGTTGATATTTATGTATTATAAACATCTATTGTTTCCTAACTTGTTCCCTATTTCACTCACACCTTTATTGCTTATGTGATTCAAGCTTTTAATTCAATAAAAAGAACAATTGCGAAACATATTAAAATGAGCATTTGTTACAATAGATTAAGGTATAGATTTTCTAGCTTTTAGAAATTGCCAATTGCTGAACTCAAAGCAGATATTCCTTAATCACAAATATTGTTTTAACTATTTATAAAATATAATTTATTTATTTATTTATTATTATTAAGAAAGTCAAATATATTTTCTCTTCTAAAAAACTAATAAACTAATTAGTAAGTTAGACCATTTTTTTTTAGTTAATGAAAAAATAATTAAACCTTAAATCAAGAGTAAGATTTTAAATATTATTCAGATTTTTAAATCCTGAGCTGAAATTTGCCAATCCTAGATCCTAAATATTATTCTAGCTTTTATTAATAATTTAAAATAAGTTTACTTTTCAATAATAAATTTTATTCTAAAAAATAAATGGAAAAACATGGGTTTAGTTTTTAAGATGAAATTCATTTAAAAAACAAGTAAAAATGTTAAAAAGAGCTTTAGTACCTTAATGATATCTTTAAATTGTTTAAATTTTAACAGTTTCCTAAAGATTTGCCCAAATAAGAAGCTCCATTATCGCAGATGTAGTTATACCTTTTATTTATTTTGAAAAAGATGTTTGTTTAAAAATATTGATAAAAATTATTTTGTTTTTTACTATTTTTGAAGTAAAATAAGTAAAATTTGTTTACATCTAACTCAAAAAAATTAAACTAATTTTGAAAAATGATTACTTTAAAAAGAGAGTCAAATCTGCAAGATTTAAACAGTTTTCTAATCCAGAACAAAATCCAAAAACTCCTTTATCACTCAGCTAATTCTCACTTTAAAATAAGGAATTTTAATTTTGATTAGTAAAGAAATATCTAATTGGTTTTAATTTAAGTGATTCTCAATTAAAATGGCTAATATAATTTCAATAAAAAGATAAAACTCTTTAAGATTGAAGAATTTTTAGGCATTTTTTAATTAAATAAATTCTATGCAAAATAAATACTCTAAGTTAAGTATCAATTGTTTTAAATTAGAACTGTTCCTTAATCCTCTCCCTAAATCCTCTGCTTGTTTGCTCTCAAATAAATTTGATCTTTTGTTATGAATAATTATTTTAACAATCTTAATATTAATTAAAAATTATCAAACTTTTTCAATAATAAAGCAAATACAAGTGCGTATTTTCTTTAAAAAAATTTACCTTAGCTGTAGCTCAAGGTTATAAATGTTGGTTTATTTTGATTATAAAAACTATTAATTAAAAATATTAATATTTTGACTGCTAAATTCTTTATTGATTACATTTTGTAAAACAAAATATTATTAATTATGTTCTTCAATCATTTTCTTTTTCTCAATTTATTGAATTATTTTAATTTATTATTATTATTATGAATTATTATTTGATTGTTTTTTATTCAATTTAAATGAAAATCAAGAAATCTAAAAGATCTTAATTTCTTATGAATACTGTAAAAACTAATTTTCTGCCGCCAAAAATTAAAAAAATTAAATTTTGGCATTCTTTTTAAATAAATCATTAATTTTTATCTCCTTCAAATTTTACTTTACTTTTATGAGGATTTGAGGTAAACTATTAAAATAATTATTTTAAAAAATATATTTTACCAAATTTAATTTACTCTTTAACTCAATTGATTTTGTTTGCAAGGTTCAATTAATTTGCTTAATTTAGTAAGCAGAAACTTTATCTATTTATTACGTAATTTATTGATTAGATATACTAAAAAAGATCATCATTACAAAAATTATTACTATCAATTTGTTTTGCAAGTTTTTTAACTAAATTAAAAAGTTAAGCTTTATTAAAGAAAATGATATAATTAATTACATTAATATTTATATTAAATGGCGAGTTTTCATTAGGTTACATAAAACCACAAAAATAAATGATAAAAAATCATTAAAATAGTATTTTATTTTGATTAAAAATTGAGGAAGATATCAATTATTAATATTATTTATTTATTAATAATTATGTCTGCTAATATCTAGGAAGACAAAAGAAAAGCTCTTTCTTTTTACAGCTAAACATTTTTATTAGTTTAAGAAACTATTGAGCTTTTAGTTAAATTCTGTTCATAGCGCAAAAGAATAAATGATCAATTTAACTACATTTATTCAAGAAGCAATAGCCAAATTTAATTATTTAGCAACTAATTTATCCTATGTCAAAATAATGAGCAGTTTGATAAAATTTTAATATTGTTTTTTATATAATATGCAAAAAATTTACTTTATAAGAGAAAATAAGAAAATGATAAAATTTTCAAATTTTTATTAGCCTTACAATTGACACACAAATTCAATGTTTTATTTCTTTGTTATAATCATAAAAGATATCTAAATATAAAGAAAATAGTTGATTTAATAAAAATCAAACAAACATCACTTTTAATTAAATTCTAATTAAATTTTTATTAGTTCTTTGGAAAGAAAATATTTATCAAAAAAAGCAGTATCATTATTTTTTATTCAATTACTTGCTTTATAAATTTGATTAACTAGTTTGTTTAAATAAATAATTAATTAAATAAATAAATAATAACAAAAAAAAACAATGATAAAAACATTCATTTTTACTTTATTAAGTTTAATTAATATTTGTTTATGCTAAACGAATAGCACGCAGCTAATTTTCTAAATACTATAAGAATAAGGTGTAGAATTTGCTTATGAGGGAAATAAATTCATAATAAACGGAACTTAGCATTCAAATATTATATTTCATCTTGAAAATATTACTATTTATGATTATTTCATAATTGAAAATTAAGAGGAATTTAAGATAACTTTTCAACTGTTCTCCTTGAGAGATGTTATAATTGATATAAAGAACTAGAGTTTATTTTAATTAAAAAAAATAAATACTTTTTTAATAGCATAACTTTAATTTGATAATGTAACAATAGAATCTCCTTTTTTAACAGCTTAAAACTGTCATGTCATAGTATTTATAGGTGGATATATTATAAATAGTCATCTTTACTAAGGATTTGCTCAATTATTAAATATTTACAATTTTTATATGGAAAGAAAGTTTGTAGATATAAATACCCTTCAAAGCTTAAATGAAAATTTTTTTAAATTTGACAATATTGTGATTTTGGATATGAGAAACTGTACTTTTGGTGATTATTAGAATCCTTTTTATGAAAATATTAATTAGAATAGTTCTTAAGAGATTAATTAATAAGTTTCCAAACAAAAAATTAAAAATTAAGCTAGGAGCGAGAATAAAAATAATGAATATCTAAATTTTATTGAATTAAAAATGATAAAAGAAGAAAAAGAAGATTGCAGTGTTATATATGAATTTGAAGATATAAATGCAAACTTTGAAGGCTTAAACTTAAGATTTATTATTATATTATAAGGTACTAATTATTGTAAAATTAATATTATGGATTGTTAATTTAAGAATATGAAGAGTTTAGATTCAGGAGGCTGCTTTAGTAATTAAGCTTCTGCTGTGCTTATATTTACAAATACAGTTTTTGACTCTTGCTAAAGTGGTATGTTTGGTGGTGCTTTGTATAGTAGTAGCTTAAAAGTAACAGATCAGCTTATCATTAAAAATTCTAAAAGTAAAATAGGTGGAGGAGCATTTCTAGGCTCTCAATCTTGCGCCGGCAACGTAAATGATTTAGAAAAAATTAACTTTTTTAATGATAGCAATGCAGCTACTATTTCTTCTCAACAATATTTTAAATGCACTAATTAGCCTGATTATAATAAAATGCCTTCATGCAATCTATTTGAATTAGATTCTATATTTTAATTAAATACTGAATTAGTAAATACCTAATATTATTAAGTCTAGTCTGAAGTAAAAATAAAAGATATGGGATCATTTCCTATTATTTATTATAGTACATTATTTTAAAATATGATATATGTATTAAGATTAAGAGTAGAATATTAATGTCCAGAGAAATAACTTCCATAAATATGTAGTATTAGGGAATTTAATGAAGACCAATCAATAGGAAATCTCTATAATTTTATTGATGATAATGAAAAATAATATTTTTATAATTTCGAAATACCTAACGCAAATTATCCTTATCTTTTGACTAGCTATTCAGAATATTTTGATTGTAAACTAAAAGGTTATGCTTTTATTTTTAGATTACACCTTTTAATAAAGGATAGTTCTTTTTGTACACTTAATACAAGAAAGGGCTGTTATAATCCAACAAATTTGTGTATATAAGGAATGTAATAAATTTTTAATTTACAGCAATAGTAAATGTAATGCAAATACTGTGATATTGGAACTTTCAAAGACCAATCAACTGATCGATGTGAAGTATGTAGCACAGAAAAGTTTGATAAATGTTATGCAAATGATTCTTACTTAAAATAAAATTTTTGGAGACCTTATAATTCTAATTATAATGATATTTATTTTTGTTAGTTAAATTAGAAAAGTTGTTAGGGTAGTAATAGGTCTGGATATGGAAACGATTTATGTTCTGAAGGTTATATTGGAGCTTAATGCTTAACGTGTGATATTAATGGCGAATTTTGGAATGGATAATATGGATAGTAAGGCTACTTTTAATGTGTTAAGTGCAGTTCTCTCAGCAATAATGATACATTTGTTTACTTATCATTAGCTACAATTCTTTTCGTATTTTTCTTCACAATAATAAGTAGCTTTAGAAGGATGAGAAAGTAAGTCTACAGAAGATACCTTTCTTTCTATATGAAAAAGATATACATAGGATCCAGTTTTATAAGATAGAGTTAGGCTTCTGTCTATACTAAAATTCTCATGTTTAATTTTTAGATGTATCTCTTGACTTACTATTTTGTTGATTTCGAAAAATATGATTCTTCTATTCATAGTAATATTTACAACTTATTTAATCCGTTATAAAACTCAGGTGGAATTTCATAGGATTGTTTTCTCAAATAATACTTTCCAACTAGTGAAAATTTAGGATTTATCAAATTATTGATTTCAATAATTTCTCCTCTAATTTTAAATATTTTCTTTTGGTTGATACTATCACTTTATAGCCAAAAAAAAAAAAAATTTTACAATTTTTTAATGATAAACAGTTTTACTTACAGCATTATTTTTATCTTTTAATCACCAATAATTTAGTACTCTGTTGAATCCTTAACATGCATTAAGTTATCTTCAAATGAGGAATATTTAATGATCAACACAAGAATTAACTGTAAAGATAATTATTGGATAAGTAAAATGACGTATTTGAGTATTGGAGCTCTAATTTTTTACATTTTATTCATTCCAATTTACATTTTTAGATACATATTTGTTAATAGAAAAAAGCTTGAAAACAGTAAGATGCTGATTGCATTTGGTTTCATATACGATGAATATAAAAGACAATACTATTATTGGTAATTTATAAAATTGCTGCTCACAACATTATTATCTGTATTAGTTTCATTTGGTAAAACTCATATAATCTTATGTTGCTAAATATATTGCGCAATCCTGTGCATATACTCTGTTTTTTTAATATTCTGCAAGCCATTCTAATAAATTTCTATGAATAAAGTAGAATTAGTTTCTATCATTTTATCAGTATTATACTTTCTATCATCAATCAGCTTATAGTTGGAATTTAGTTCAGAGAATTAGTACGATTAATATCAAGTTGGCAGAATAATGTCAGAAATATTTTACTATTTAGTCTTAATTTGCTAATTTATTTTCTACCTTTATATCATCTGCTTGATCATATTATCTGTATTTTATACTTCAGTTTAAAAATTGTAAAAATTTTAAATTTTCTAGAGGCTTTTAAGACTATTTCCAAGAGCTAAACTTAAAGTGTATACTAAAGACCTTGAAATTAATTTGTAGAGATTTAGATAATTAGTTAGAGGTATAATTATGGATTAAAGTACAAATCTTATTGCTGACGAAATATAAACTTTTTTAGTTTAAGAATATGAAATAAACTTATAATGAATAAGGTATTTATTATGTATGTGATTTATGAGTAAATTTATAAAGTTTATATACAAGAAGAAAATTAATTTTTAATTTAACAATATATTTTTTAAGAGTGTTAAAAATAGTTTCATGTTTAGAATTCACCAATACCTAGTGTTTGTATAGATACTTATTTTTTATAGATAATAAAATAATTCATTCAATCAGAGCAATATAATATAAAGTATATTATATTTATTAGTAACAAATAACTGTAGGTTTATAAATATCATAATAATTACTCTTAATGTCTTTTTTCTTGTTCTTTTATAAATAATCATCTTTTTTTGAGATTTTAAAAACTTTTATTTAAACATTTGTAATTAAATAATTGAATGCAATCTGTTATTCTTGTTCTTAGAACCTACAAATTTATAATTATTGGGTATAACTTAATTACTATGCTTAAGCTGTAACATTTATAAATACAAAGCTAGATTAAAATTAGTTTTTTTTCTAAAAATACATCAAATGATTAATAAGATTTATTAAAGATAATATAACATAAGTCACATTTTGTCAACGGTACTAAATCAGCATATTTGACTCATTTTTATATTAATATTTTTTAAATTACTTTTTTTTATAATTTACTTTAATTATCCATATATGGTATAGGTTCATATATTAAGGCCTGTTTTTAAAAAATTTTAATATGGTTGAATTAAAAATATGAATAATTTTTAAGGAATTTAAATAGCAAAAATAACTGAATTTATTTATAAAAATCAAAGGTATGATTGATGGATTTTATTTAGTTAAAAATTTAAATAAATTTGTATTATTAAATATTTATACATCAGATAAAGATTGATAAAGTAGAACTTTTTTTAACTTCTGTAAATAATTTTGTGAAGCTTGAGTAACAACTTTTACTTGCGAATAGTCTTTGCTTCCGAAAATAAATTTATCATAAATTGTTAATCTCTGAACTTTGATTATACTTTTCAGTTTTAATTTGATGTTTTTTATGTTTGAATATATATTTAGTTTTCTATATTTTTTGGCTTGATTGAAAATTAAAATAAAATAAAAAATTTTAAGTTGATATTTATAAATTATAGACATCTATTGCTTCGTAAATTTTCCCTATTTCACTTTCACCTTTATTGATAATGTGATTCAAGCTTTTAATTCATAAAAACAAAAGTTATGAATCATATTAAAATTATCATTTTTACAATAGATTAATATATCACTCAGCTAATTTTCACTTTGAAATAAGCAATTTAAATTTTGATTAGTAAAAATTTATCTAATTTGTTTTAATTTAAGCTACTATCTATTAAAATGGCTGATAAAATATCAAAAAAAAGATAAAACCCTTTAAGATTGAAGAATATTTTAGGCATTTTTTAATTCATAAATTTTATGTAAAAATATACTTTAAGTAAAGTATCAACTGTTTTAAATTAGAACTGTTTCTTAATCCTTTCCCTTAATCCTCTGCTTATCTGCTCACAAATAGAATATCTTTTGTTTTGAATAATTATTTTAAATAATCTTAATATAATTTAAAAATGATGAAATTTTTACAACAGTAATAACACAAAATGTTAATTTTGTTTAAAAAAATTTGCCTAAGCTGTAGCTCAAGGTTATAAGTGTTGGTTTATTTTGATTATAAAAACTATTTATTAATTAAAAATATTAATATTTTGACTTCTAAATTCTTTATTGATTACATTTTGTAAAACAAAATATTATTAATTATGTTCTTCAATCATTTTCTTTTTCTAAATCTATTGAATTGTTTTAATTTATTATTATTTGATTGCTTCTTTATTGAATTTAAATGAAAATCAAGCAATCTAAAAAATTAATTCTTTATGAATATTGCAAATTTTTTAACTAAATCAAAAAGTTAAGCTTTGTTTAAGGAAATGGTATTATTATTAATTACATTAATATTTAAATTAAATGGCGATTTTTCATCAGGTTGCATAAAACCACAAAAATAAAGATAAAAATCATTAAAATAGTATTTTAATCTAATGAAAAAGTGAGGAAGATATCAATTAAAACTATTATTTATTTATCAATAATTATGCCTTCTAATATTAGGAAGACATAAGAGAAGTTCTTTCTTTTTACAGCTTAACAATTTTATTTATTAAAGAAACATATTTAGCTTTTAGTTAAATTCTACTCATAGCGCAAAACAATAAAAGATAAATTTAATTACATTTATTATAACAGCATCAGCAAAATATAATTATTTATCAATTAATTCATCATATATCAAAATAATGCGTAGTTTGATTAAATTTTAATATTATATAATATGCAAAAAATTTGCTTTATAGGAGAAAATAAGAAAATTATAAAATCTTCAAATTTGTATTAGCCTTGCAATTAACACACAAATTTAAAGGTTTATATTATAAAAGAAATCTAAAAAAAGAAAAATATTTGATGTTAATAAAAATCACACATTCATCACTTTTAATTAAATTCTGATTAAATTCTTATTAGCTTTTTGGAAGAAAATTTTTATCAAAAAAAGTAGTACCAATACTTTTATTCAGTTGCTTGATATCTAAAAATTTGATTAACTTGTTTGTTTAAATAAGTAATTAATTAATTTAATAAATAATAATAATAATAAAAAACAATGAAAAAAACATTGATTTTTGCTTTATTAAGTTTAATTAATATTTGTTTATGCCAAACGAATAGCACGCAGCTAATTTTCTAAATACTATAAGAATAAGGTGTAGAATTTGCTTATGATAGAAATAAATTCACAATAAATGGACTTTTGAAATCAGATATTGTATTTCATCTTGAAAATATTACTATTTATGATTATTTCAAAATTGAAAATAGAGATAGATTTGATATAAATTTTTAATAATTATCCTTGAAAGATGTTAAAATTGATATAAAGAACTAGAGTTTATTTTAATTAAATAACGTAACTACTTTTTCAATATAATAACTTTAATTTGATAATGTAACAATAGAATCTCCTTTACTTACAGCTTAAAACTGTAATAGCATTGTATTTCTAGGTGGATATATTATAAATAGTCATCTTTACTAAGGATTTGGTCAATTTTTTAATAATTTATACTTTCGTGTCGAAAAAATGTTTGTAGATATAAATACCCTTCAAAGCTTAAATGAAAATTTTTATTAACATACCAATACTGAGATCTCGGATATGATAAGCTGTACTTTTGGTGATTATTAGAATCCTTTTTATGAAAACGTTAATTAGAATAGTTCTTAAGTGACAAATTATGAAGATTCCAAACAAAATATTAAAATTTAAGTTAGGAGCGAGAATAAAAATAATAAATATCTAAATTTTATTGAATTAAAATTTAATTTACCTTCAATGAACCTAAGATATTAATTTTAAGATATAAAAGCAAACTTTGAAAGCTTAAACTTAAGATTTATTCTTATAATATGCCCTATATTATTTTAATTTAGAATTATAGATTGTTAATTTAAGAATATGAAGAGTTTAGATTCAGGAGGCTGCTTTAGTAATATAGGTTCTGCTTTTCTTATATTTACAAATACAGTTTTTGACTCTTGCTATAGTGGTATGTTTGGTGGTGCTTTATATAGTAGTACCTTAAAAGTAACAGATCAGCTTATCATTAAAAATTCTAAAAGTAAAATAGGTGGAGGAGCATTTCTAGGCTCTGAATCTTGCGGCGCCGCTATAAATAATTTAGAAAAAATTAACTTTTTTAATGATAGCAATACAGCTACTATTTCTTCTCAACAATATTATAAATGCACTAATTAGCCTGATTATAATAAAATCACTTAATGCAATCTATTTGAATTAGATTCTATATTTTAATTAAATACTGAATTAGTAAATACCTAATATTATTTAGTCTAGTCTGAAGTAAAAATAAAAGATATGGGATCAAATCCTCATATTGTTTATTATAGTACATTATTTTAAAATATGATATATGTATTAAGATTAAGAGTAGAATATGAATGTCCAGAGAAATAACTTCCATAAATATGTAGTATTAGGGAATTTAATGAAGACCAATCAATAGGAAATCTCTATAAATTTATTGATGATGATGAAAAATAATATTTTTATAATTTTGAAATACCTAACGCAAATTATCCTTATCTTTTGACTAGCTATTCTTAATATTTTGATTGTAAACTAAAAAGTTATGCTTTTATTTTTAAATTGCGTCCTTTAATGGAAATGGGTCGTTCTGTTTGTACACTTAATACAAGATATGGCTGTTATAATCCAACAAATTTGTGTATATAAGGAATGTAATAAATTTTTAATTTACAGCAATAGTAAATGTAATGCAAATACTGTGATATTGGAACTTATAATGACGAATCAACAGATCGATGTGAAGTATGCAACACAGAAAAGTTTGATAAATGTTATGCAAATGATTCTTACTTAAAATAAAATTTTTGGAGACCTTATAATTCAAATTATAACGACATTTATTTTTGTTAGTTAAATTAGAAAAGTTGTTAGGGTAGTAATAGGTCTGGATATGGAAACGATTTATGTTCTGAAGGTTATATTGGAGCTTAATGCTTAACGTGTGATATTAATAGCGAATTTTGGAATGGATAATATGGATAGTAAGGCTACTTTTAATGTGTTAAGTGCAGTTCTCTCAACAATAATGATACATTTATTTACTTATCATTAGCAACAATTCTTTTCGTATTTTTCTTCACGATAATAAGTAGCTTTAGAAGGATGAGAAAGTAAGTCTACAGAAGATACCTTTCTTTCTATATGAAAAAGATATACATAGGATCCAGTTTTATTAGATAGAGTTAGGCTTCTGTCTATACTAAAATTCTCATGTTTAATTTTTAGATGTATCTCTTGACTTACTATTTTGTTGATTTCGAAAAATATGATTCTTCTATTCATAGTAATATTTACAACTTATTTAATCCGTTATAAAACTCAGGTGGAATTTCATAGGATTGTTTTCTCAAATAATACTTTCCAACTAGTGAAAATTTAGGATTTATCAAATTATTGATTTCAATAATTTCTCCTCTAATTTTAAATATTTTCTTTTGGTTGATACTATCACTTTATAGCCAAAAAAAAAAAAAATTTTACAATTTTTTAATGATAAACAGTTTTACTTACAGCATTATTTTTATCTTTTAATCACCAATAATTTAGTACTCTGTTGAATCCTTAACATGCATTAAGTTATCTTCAAATGAGGAATATTTAATGATCAACACAAGAATTAACTGTAAAGATAATTATTGGATAAGTAAAATGACGTATTTGAGTATTGGAGCTCTAATTTTTTACATTTTATTCATTCCAATTTACATTTTTAGATACATATTTGTTAATAGAAAAAAGCTTGAAAACAGTAAGATGCTGATTGCATTTGGTTTCATATACGATGAATATAAAAGACAATACTATTATTGGTAATTTATAAAATTGCTGCTCACAACATTATTATCTGTATTAGTTTCATTTGGTAAAACTCATATAATCTTATGTTGCTAAATATATTGCGCAATCCTGTGCATATACTCTGTTTTTTTAATATTCTGCAAGCCATTCTAATAAATTTCTATGAATAAAGTAGAATTAATTTCTATCATTTTATCAGTATTATACTTTCTATCATCAATCAGCTTATAGTTGGAATTTAGTTCAGATAATTAGTACGATTAATATCAAGTTGGCAGAATAATGTCAGAAATATTTTACTATTTAGTCTTAATTTGCTAATTTATTTTCTACCTTTATATCATCTGCTTGATCATATTATCTGTATTTTATACTTCTGTTTAAAAATTGTAAAAATTTTAAATTTTCTAGAGGCTTTTAAGACTATTTCCAAGAGCTAAACTTAAAGTGTATTCTAAAGACCTTGAAATTAATTTATAGAGATTTAGATAAGTAGTTAGAGGTATAATTATGGATTAAAGTACAAATCTTATTGCTGACGAAATATAAACTTTTTTAGTTTAAGAAAATGAAATAAACTTATAATGAATGAATAAGGTATTTATTGTGTATGTGATTTATGAGTAAATTTATAAAGTTTATATATAAGAAGAATATTAATTTTTAATTTAATACTCTATTTTTTAAGGATTTTAAAAATAATTTTATATTCAGAAGTCATCAATACATAAGTATCAAAAGTAATTAAGTATTTTAATAATACATAACTATTTTTGGTAATATTATAAAAAGTGCAAAATGCAAAACAAAAAAAAGTTCAAAAATTTATTTTATGATAAAAATACCATAAAACTTTAATTAAAAATCATAACTTGATAATTTAAATTTAAATTTAATTTTTGTTTTTTAATAAGACATGTTGAATAGGCTAGATAGAATAGACTTTGAATAAGAAAATGAAGAATGGCAATCAATATAATCAGATAATATTTTATTTTGAATTTCATAATACCAGCAATTACTATATATTTGCATATATGTAAAATAAATAAATAATACATAATGAATGATATTTATAAATATAAAATCAATAAAAAAATCTATCATCTATCAATTTATATTTTAGGTTAAAAAAACTTTTTCAAACTAATATAAATTAAAACACAAATAATATTCTATTATTCAATCATTTAATATTATTCATCCTTTTTTCGCCACTCGTTTATCATCAGAATTATTATTTAAAGACAACTAATCTTTTTGATTTAAGACACTTGCTTATTATTTTGAATTTTTATGATTCATTCAATGAGCTAAAGATTTTATAATAAATTTGTGTAAATTTTAAAATAGAATAAAATTTAAAATTAAAAATTATTTCTTAAAATTAATAAATAAGATAGGATTAGCGGAATAAAAAATATAAAAAAATAAATCAAATAAATTCAAATAGCTTTTTAGTTTTATGTTCATTTTTATAATTCAAAATATCACAATCCAAAACAAATAAACTGATTTTACCTAAGTTATAGTGTCAAATTTGAGAGATTAATGCACTTTGCTAAACCAGAACCTAAGCCTGATGCACCTTCATCACCAATTTTATTCAAACTTTAAATATTGAAGAAAAAATATATCATTAAATAGTTAATTAGAAGGAAAAAATGAAGAAAAAATATGAAATAACAATAAAAGCAAAAGTTGAAAATAAAATGATGAGACAAATTAACAAAGAAAGAAAGAACAAAAAAAAGCAAGCACAATAAAAAGAAAAAGAAAAAAGAGCTTTATTGTTTTTAATTTGATTTTATTATTCAAAATATCACAATCCAAAACATATAAACTGTTTTTACCCAAGTTATAGTGTCAAATTTGAGAGATTAATGCACTTTGCTAAACCAGAACCTAAGCCTGATGCACCTTCATCACCAATTTAATTTTATCTTTTTAAATATTGAAGAAAAAATATATCATTAAATAGTTAATTAGAAGGAAAAAATATGAAATAATAAGATTAATTAACAATAAAAGCAAAAGTTGAAAATAAAATGATGAGATAAATTAACAAAGAAAGAAAGAACAAAAAAAAGCAAGAACAATAAAAAGAAAAAGAAAATAGAGCTTTATTGTTTTTAATTTGTTTTTATTATTCAAAATATCACAATCCAAAACAAATAAACTGTTTTTACTCAAGATAAAGTCTCAAATTTGAGAGATTAATGCACTTTGTTAAACCTGAACCTAAGCCTGATGCACCTTCATCACCAATTTAATTTTATCTTTTTAAATATTGAAGAAAAAATATATCATTAAATAGTTAATTAGAAGGAAAAAATATGAAATAATAAGATTAATTAACAATAAAAGCAAAAGTTGAAAATAAAATGATGAGATAAATTAATAAAGAAAGAAAGAACAAAAAAAAAGCAAGCACAATAAAAAGAAAAAAAAATAGAGCTTTATTGTTTTTAATTTATTTTTATTATTCAAAATATCACAATCCAAAACAAATAAACTGTTATTACTAAATGTTAAGTGTCAAATTTGAGAGATTAATGCACTTTGCTAAACCAGAACCTAAGCCTGATGCACCTTCATCACCAATTTAATTTTATCTTTTTAAATATTGAAGAAAAAATATATCATTAAATAGTTAATTAGAAGGAAAAAATGAAGAAAAAATATGAAATAATAAGATTAATTAACAATAAAAGCAAAAGTTTATAATTCAAAATATCACAATCCAAAACAAATAAACTGTTTTTACTCAAGATCTAGTGTCAAATTTGAGAGATTAATGCACTTTGCTAAACCAGAACCTAAGCCTGATGCACCTTCATCACCAATTTTATTATAGCTATTTAAATATTGAAGAAAAAATATATCATTAAATAGTTAATTAGAAGGAAAAAATGAAGAAAAAATATGAAATAATAAGATTAATTAACAATAAAAGCAAAAGTTGAAAATAAAATGATGAGATAAATTAACAAAGAAAGAAAGAACAAAAAAAAGCAAGCACAATAAAAAGAAAAAGAAATAGAGCTTTATTGTTTTTAATTTATTTTTATTATTCAAAATATCACAATCCAAAACAAATAAACTGTTTTTACTAAATGTTAAGTATCAAATTTGAGAGATTAATGCACTTTGCTAAACCAGAACCTAGGCCTGATGCACCTTTAGCACCAATTTCATTACCACTTTTTAAATATTGAAGAAAAAATATATCATTAAATAGTTAATTAGAAGGAAAAAATGAAGAAAAAATATGAAATAATAAGATTAATTAACAATAAAAGCAAAAGTTGAAAATAAAATGATGAGATAAATTAACAAAGAAAGAAAGAACAAAAAAAAGCAAGCACAATAAAAAGAAAAAGAAATAGAGCTTTATTGTTTTTAATTTATTTTTATTATTCAAAATATCACAATCCAAAACAAATAAACTGTTTTTACTAAGTGTTAAGTATCAAATTTGAGAGATTAATGCACTTTGCTAAACCAGAACCTAGGCCTGATGCACCTTTAGCACCAATTTCATTACCACTTTTTAAATATTGAAGAAAAAATATATCATTAAATAGTTAATTAGAAGGAAAAAATGAAGAAAAAATATGAAATAATAAGATTAATTAACAATAAAAGCAAAAGTTGAAAATAAAATGATGAGATAAATTAACAAAGAAAGAAAGAACAAAAAAAAGCAAGCACAATAAAAAGAAAAAGAAAAAAGAGCTTTATTGTTTTTAATTTGATTTTATAATTAAAAATATCACAATCAAAAACAAATAAACTGTTTTTACTCAAGATCTAGTGTCAAATTTGAGAGATTAATGCACTTTGCTAAACCAGAACCTAAGCCTGATGCACCTTCATCACCAATTTTATTATAGCTATTTAAATATTGAAGAAAAAATATATCATTAAATAGTTAATTAGAAGGAAAAAATATGAAATAATAAGATTAATTAACAATAAAAGCAAAATTTGAAAATAAAATGATGAGATAAATTAACAAAGAAAGAAAGAACAAAAAAAAGCAAGCACAATAAAAAGAAAAAGAAAATAGAGCTTTATTGTTTTTAATTTGTTTTTATAATTCAAAATATTACAATCCAAAACAAATAAACTGTTTTTACCAAATATTAAGTGTCAAATTTGAGAGATTAATGCACTTTGCTAAACCAGAACCTAAGCCTGATGCACCTTCATCACCAATTTAATTTTAACTTTTTAAATATTGAAGAAAAAATATATCATTAAATAGTTAATTAGAAGGAAAAAATGAAGAAAAAATATGAAATAATAAGATTAATTAACAATAAAAGCAAAAGTTGAAAATAAAATGATGAGATAAATTAACAAAGAAAGAAAGAACAAAAAAAAGCAAGCACAATAAAAAGAAAAAGAAAAAAGAGCTTAATTGTTTTTAATTTGTTTTTATTATTCAAAATATCACAATTCAAAACAAATAAACTGTTTTTACTAAATGTTAAGTATCAAATTTGAGAGATTAATGCACTTTGCTAAACCAGAACCTAGGCCTGATGCACCTTTAGCACCAATTTCATTACCACTTTTTAAATATTGAAGAAAAAATATATCATTAAATAGTTAATTAGAAGGAAAAAATGAAGAAAAAATATGAAATAATAAGATTAATTAACAATAAAAGCAAAAGTTGAAAATAAAATGATGAGATAAATTAACAAAGAAAGAAAGAACAAAAAAAGCAAGCACAATAAAAAGAAAAAGAAAAAAGAGCTTTATTGTTTTTAATTTGTTTTTATTATTCAAAATATCACAATCCAAAACAAATAAACTGTTTTTACTAAATGATAAGTGTCAAATTTGAGAGATTAATGCACTTTGCTAAACCAGAACCTAAGCCTGATGCACCTTCATCACCAATTTTATTATAGCTTTTTAAATATTGAAGAAAAAATAAATCATTAAATAGAGTAAGTTGCCATACAAATTTCCAAAATGTGAGTTTTATATACCAGCTTTACATTTTATAAAATTAAAATTTTAAATATTTTTTCAGAATTTTATTTCATCAAAAAAAACACACTGCTAAAAAAATAAATATTGATATACTTTTATATTTTTTCTGTATAAATACGGTATAAAAAAAAGAAATTTAGCATCTAAATAAGAAGAGTATTTATTCCTTGAGAATGTTAATGAATTTTTAGTCATAATTTATATCTCAATATTTACAATTTAAAAATCTTAAATTTTTCTAGTAAAATACAAAATTAAATTTTGACATCTTTTTCACATTATATTCAAATTTGTAATCTTTTCATTTCTAACTTAATTAGTATGAATTACATAGAAAATTTTCTAAGCATCTAGTTGCTATTGTATTAAATAATTAAATATTTTGCTCTTTCATTCATTAATTTGTTTAATGATTTTTCCTACAAAAGGTTTTTATCTTGTTTAAATAAAAAAACAGTGGATTAAATGATGATATTTGTTTATTATATACTTACAATAATGAATTTTTAGATATTCTAAATAATTTTAGATTTGATATTATTGACTGAATAAATTTTTGAATTCTAAATTTGTTTAATTTTTTGATCTATTTTAGACTATTAAATCAGGAATATTATTTTTATTGAAACATTTACATCAAAGATATCAATATTTTAAAGTTATAACTTTGAATCCATATTAATATTTTTTTATTTGTTTATTTATGTGTTCTATATTATAAAAAATAACTAATTCCTCAATTATTAAATAAATAAAGGTTTGAAATAATTCAAAAGTCTAGTAAATTATTGTACTACTATATATAAAAATATGAATGAATTATTTCTAAAATGAAATTATTTATAACAAATTTTAATATAGTTATTCATTATTATTTTAAATGATTAAATCTATTTTGTTAAATTCAATTATTATCAATTTTCTTGAAAGAAACGACTTATAAGTTTTTTAACCAAGGTTAACTCAAAACTTCAACAATCCAGCCTTAGTCATCAAACATAATATAGAATTTGAACATAAAACCACTAACAACCTTTTGGTATACAGCAGCAATTTTAGGAGTGACGTCAGAAGTTACGATTTTCTTGGAAATCAAGTAATCTAAGGCAGCTTAGTAGGCTTCTCCATGCATCTCTTCATTGTAATCAACTAATTGATAACCACCATCTTTATCATCGTTATTACTTTAAGCATAAGCAATACTCAAACAAACAGCAATAACAGCCAAAAAAATTAATTTTCTCATTTTCATTTTAATTTTTTCTTAATTAGTTTTTTTTTTTGATTTAATTATTATTAATTTCTAAATTGATTCCTAACTTTTTAATTCCTTTTTAGTTATTATAAATATTAAAATTTGAACTCGCTTATGCTTAAAATACAACAATCTATTTTATTATATTGTTTTTAGTTAAAAATAGTATTGTACCTGATTAGATGATTATTTGTGAATAATATATGGCTCGCTTTTAATATAATAAATCAGTGTTTGGTTTATTTTAATCAAAATTGTATATAAAATTTTAAAATAGAATATTTTTATAATTTAAAGGAATTTTAAAATCGTATAAATTAATTGCTATTACATATTACTCTAAAAAAGATTTTGGATATAAAATCTAGATTTATTTTGATAAAAAAGAAAAATATTTACTTAAGATGACAAACTGGCTATCGATTTATTCATTCAGAATATAAATAATAAAAGAATATCATAACTTCTATTATAGAGTTTTTAAATTCGGAATGATTACTTAACCTAGAAGGGAATATCTTTTAAACATAAATCATAACTTTTTTAAAATACTAAAAATTTTTATTTTTGAGAAAATAAATTTATTTCTACATATCACAATTTAATTATTTTCCTTTTATTTTTTAAAATTGAATAGGAATAATTTAAAAATTACAAAAATTTCATAAAAGACTATCAAAATACATTTTATTCTTTTCTTGTAGGCATTTTAAATTTTTTGATTTTTTGATTTGGTATTTTAATTTTAGTTTTCAGATTTCATCAAACATGTTAAAAAGATACAATTTATTTATCAAATAAATTAATTAAGTGAAATTAAAACAAATAAATTTCATCGTTTACTTTTCAATCAAAGATTTTTGATGAAATACTAATTTTATTTAATTTAAGAAAAATTTGTTTTTAATTTTTAGTTATTATTGCAAAGAAATGTAAGATATGTTTGTAAGTACTTTAACTAAATATATGAATATAAAGATACAGATAATATCTTTAATTAATCTTTATAAAAATACAAAGTTTGATCATTTTGTTTTGCATACTTACAATTTATTTAAAAGGGAAACACCGTATTTGAGTATATGCAAATCAAAACCATCTCTATAAATTAATTGTTTTGATAATATATTCTAAAAAAAGATTTTGGATATTAAATATAAATTTATTTTGATAAAAAAGAAAAATATTTGCTTAAGATGACGAATTCACTATTGATTCATTCATTCAGAACATAAATAATAAAAGAATATCATAACTTCTAAAAAAGAGTTTTTAAATTCGGAATGATTACTTAACCTAGAAGGAAATATCTTTTAAACATAAATCATAACTTTTTTATATTACTAAAAATTTTTATTTTGAAGAAAATAAATTTATTTCTACATATTTCAATTTAATTCTTTTGCTTTTATTTTTTAAATTGTAAAGAAATAATTTAAAAATTACATAAAAGACTATCAAAATACATTTTATCCTTTTCTTGTAGGCATTTTAAATTGTTTGATTTTTTGATTTGGTATTTTAATTTTTGTTTTCAGATTTCATCAAAAATGTTAAAAAGATATAATTTATTTATCAAATAAATTAATTAAGTGAAATTAAAACAAATAAATTTCATCGTTTACCTTTCAATCAAAGATTTTTGATGAAATACTAATTTTATTTAATCTAAGAAAAATTAGTTTTTAATAAGATATGTTTGTAAGTACTTAAACTAAATATATGAATATAAAAATACAGATAATATCTTTAATTAATCTTTATAAAAATACAAAGTTTGATCATTTTTTTTGCTAACTTACAATTGATTTAAAAGGGAAACACCAAATTTGAGTTTATGCAAATCAAAACCATCTCTTTTAATTAATTGCTTTTACAAAATACTCTAAAAAAAGATTTTGGATCTTAAATCTAGATTTATTTTGATAAAAAAGAAAAATATTTGCTTAAGATGACGAATTCACTATTGATTCATTCAGAACATAAATAATAAAGAATATCATAACTTCTATTAAATAGTTTTTAAATTCGGAATGATTACTTAACCTAGAAGGGAATATCTTTTAAACATAAATCATAATTTTTTTAAAATACTAAAAATTTATATTTTGGAGAAAATAAATTTATTTTTACATATCTCAATTTAATTGTTTTACTTTTTTTTTAAAAAATTGAATAGGAATAATTTAAAAATTACAAAAATTTCATAAAAGACTATCAAAATACATTTTATTCTTTTCTTGCAGGCATTTTAAATTTTCTGATTTTTTGATTTGGTATTTTAATTTTAGTTTTCAGATTTCATCAAAAATGTTAAAAAGATACAATTTATTTATCAAATAAATTAATTAAGTGAAATTAAAACAAATAAATTTCATCGTTTACTTTTCAATCAAAGATTTTTGATGAAATGCTAATTTTATTTAATTTAAGAAAAATTAGTTGCTAATTTTTAGTTATTATTGCAAAGAAATGTAAGATATGTTTGTAAGTACTTAAACTAAATATATGAATACAAATATAAATATAAAGATAATATTTTTAATTAATAACTATAAAAATATATATTTTGATCATTTTCTTGCTGCATACTTATAATTAATTTAAAACACATATTTGAGTATATGCAAATCAAAACCATCTCTCTTAATTAATTGCTATTAAAATATACTCTAAAATAAGATTTTGGATATAAAATCTAGATTTATTTTGATAAAAAAGAAAAATTTTTGCTTAAGAAGATGAACTGATTATTTATTGATTCATTCATTCAGAACATAGATAATAAAGAATATCATAACTTATATTAAAGAGTTTTTAAATTCGGAATGATTACTTAACCTAGAAGGGAATATCTTTTAAACATAAATCATAATTTTTTTAAAATACTAAAAATTTTTATTTTGGAGAAAATAAATTTATTTCTACATATCTCAATTTAATTATTTTCTTTTTATTATTAAAAATTGTTGAGGAATAATTTAAAAATTACAAAAATTTCATAAAAGACTGTCAAAATACACTTTATTCCTTTCATGTAGGCATTTTAAATTTTCTGATTTTTTAATTTTAGTTTTCAGATTTCATCAAAAATGTTAAAAAGATACAATTTATTTATCAAATAAATTAAGTGAAATTAAAACAAGTAAATTTCATCATTTACTTTTCAATCAAAGATTTTTGATGAAACTCTAATTTTATTTAATTTAAGAAAAATTAGTTATTAATTTTTAGTAATTATTGCAAAGAAATGCAAGATATGTTTGTAAGTACTTTAACTAAATATATAAATATAAAGATACAGATAATATTTTTAATTAATCTCTATAAAAATACATATTTTGATCATTTTCTTGTTGAATACTTACAATTTATTTAAAAGGGAAACACCTTATTTAAATATATAAGGCGGCAGGGCTATTCGTGTGCCACCTCTTTATTTTTATATGTATTAGTATTTTCTTAGGCACTTATTAAAAATTAATTTTTTTGAAAAGAAAAAAAGGGGAT